CAGCAATTAATATTAATGATGGTTTCTATGGTAATCATACTCTTAGTTGGAATGTAATGTTTAATACTGTACGAGAAACTAGTGATCATGGTGCTATTAATACATGGGATCGACAACCATATTTAAGTGATGCAGTACAATCTGGTTTACCGTCACTTTGGCAACATGGCAGTTATATTCATCATAATACTATCTTTAATAATTATAATGCTTTATGGCCTATTGATCACGATGATGGTAGTTGTTTTTATGAAGATAGTTATAATTTTCTTATGTATGGTGGCAAAAAAAATTATCTAGGTCATTCAAAAAAAGATCATCATCAAATGTATGTATATTCAGATGCAGGTAGAGACGATTTCGGTTGTAATACTTGTCTTGACTATTATGCACCTAGACAAGGATATAGTGGATGGAATGAAGTTTATATTGAAAATACTTGTATACTTTATAAAAATCCAGTTCCTTACAGAATTGATGATTGTGATACAGCTGATTTATTTGTACCTTATTTAGCAAATAATAAAATTTATATACCAAATGGTACGGAAGCAATATTTACATGTAATGTGAATGGTATAAGTACAAAACTTAATTTACAACAATGGCAATCATATGGATTAGATATTAATACTACTGTTCAAGTTACACCTGATGTTCAAACAATAATTAAATGGGGTCGTGAAATGTTACAAAATACTATTTAAATTAACATACGATTAAATTTAGATGCGACACTTTTTTACTTTCACATTGTTCTGTATTCATATCACAATATTTTGTCAGATATTTAAAATGAAATAAACTATAAAAAAAAAGATTAATAATTTTTCATCTGATCTAATAGGAATTAGTGAAATCATCCATTTTTTAATTAATCTAAATGAACAGATGAAAATCAAATATCATTTCACGAGTCATTCTTCTTATTGATTTTTTTATGTGCATTTTTTATTGTATTGAAAAAGTCAATGTATGAATCATTCATTAAAACATATCAGTAATCCATTGTAGAAATTACTCTTATAAAGGCTCTTTACCTTATCGCTGAGATCACTTTTAAATAAGATAAAAAAAACGTAGTTTATATATGAATGATTACTACAATAAACAAAAATCAAACTATATACTTTGTCGATTTTGACTCAGTTTTTTCGTTGACAGATGAAAGGAAAATGATCTGTACACGAATGGTCACTTTAGAAAAATATGGATACAAATATGTACTTTTAATACTTTATTTATATTTACGATTAGTACATTCATTTATTCTTCGTCTACTTTAATCGTTTCTGAATATTATTTAAAAGCAACCATCACTATACTAGTTGCCTTTAAATCCTGTTATTAAAATCAAAACTTTTAACAGGATGGATTTTTTATTCTTGAAAAAAATATAATTCCAACCAATATTTTATTTTCATTTTTATAAAAGTGAACGAATTAAACAACTTATGAGTGAATTAAGTTGTTCTTCTTTCCAATCTCTTCGTTATTTAAGTTTTATATTCTAGATTTTGTACATATTTATGATATATCAATATCTTAGTTAATTTAGTTTCTGAGTTAATATAATATATCTAACTAAAAGCTGTCGGTAACCTTTTTTCATAGACATGATACAATTATATACAAATAGATAAGGAGATAAATAGAAATACTTTATTTCTTTATATAGATACAATTAAAACTCGACAAATTCTAACATCGATCATCTGAAAGTTATTTATTTTCCACAAGAAATAATAGCGAGATCATATTCAAAGTTTTTTTCTAATTTATGTACACAATCTATTAAAAATGAGATTACATATGTATATTTTATGAGAAGTACAAAGAAAACTTGACTCTTTATGATATTTAGAAGACTTGTTAGTTTCTATCATATACATTTTTGTAGAGGATATTCAAATCTTATTTATTTCTGTAACAATACATGTTTCAATTTAAAAAAATCTAATTTCTTCTATATCATTGAATATATTTATATTAATAATAAATTCTTTTTACTCAAAAAAGCATAAAGAATCAAATGGAAGTTAATTATATAGATAGTCATTCTTTTTTATATAATTTTAAAAGATTGATATACTTGCCAATATGATTCTATTGATTGTTAATCAATAATAACAATGTAATATTTAATGTACTATTTTCTTGAAACTTCAGCTATATTATTATAATTAAACTGTTCGATAATCTACCTTAAGGGTGTGAATAATCATACTCACACCCTCAAATATTTTGATGAAGTGATAGCTCTAAGGAGTGTTTAATAATGCAGTCCAGTAGTTTATATCGGACGCCACAAAATGGTTTCCAACAAAGATTTAATCTGTTATCAAAAGCTTCATCATACATCTCTGCGTCGACTGTTATATATCTGTGAAAAATTCAGAGATGAATTAATTGGTGCTCTTATCTGTTCATACCTTTTAATTTTGTGACAAATTCGGTTTTCATCAAAATTTTAATCGTGAGGTATCAAAATTCGGTATATTTCTATCCGTTATATTGCCATATCTTAATTAAATTTAATAGAAGGAAAAACGTGTTTTTATGAATTTGACGCAAAATTAAATTTTATATCAACTTTTTTTTCTATCTAGTAGTTACTTTATAAAAGCAGAAGCAGATGTTTCCTTTTCTGCACATGATATTTTTTCCATATATAAGTTATCACGTAAAAGTGAAATGAGAGAAAAAGAAATATCTTTCGTTTTGTGCATACATACCGTAATGCGTTAGCATAGAGAGAGAAAGAGAGAGATTTCTTCGTTTAAATATATTTTATTTTACATCTCGTATTCAACTATGAATATAAAGGAATAAACACTTCGTTGATAAATTTGAAACTGACTGTAATGCTTTCCTTTTCTCAGTTACTGCTCAGTTACCATCGAGCCAGAAAACAATGCCATATGTATCAGAAATAAAAAGAGACCATGATATTTTTTTTATTTTCTCTTTTTGTTGATTTGTTGTAGAATTTTTTTGGCATAAGGCCGTCCGCTTACATTCTCTCATAATAATATTTTAATTTTATTGAAGTATGATGCTTCTCAATTTTTAGCCTTTATTATAATTATGTGAAAAACTTAGAATAGTGATCTTGGAGAATATCATCACGAGTTTTATCTGACATGTTTCTACTTGTGTAGCACTTCACACTTTTTTCATACTTTCCTAGTTAGCATATTTTTTACGAGAATAATAATTTTTTTAAAACTTTGTCAAACGTTTTTAGGTATAGAATGAAAAGTTCCAATTCTCTATTGGTTCCTAGTGATGATTACTAATCAAGTGATATTTTATTTATAAAGTTTTACTAAAGGTGATCAAAGGCAAAAAATCCTAATTTATAGTCTACTTGTTCGCTTTTCCTTGCTTCGTTCTCTTAAGGGCACTACAAAGATAGTGAACAAATTGAGTTTGAGCTTTAAATTACATTTCGGTTAGAATCTTAGGCGAAATAGTTTGCAGAGTGGTAGAGTGCGCTGCTTATAAGCAAAACCCGGAAGCATTTAGCTTACGAGCTATATATCGTTAGGATGTTTAGATAAAGTTTATTTCTCGCAGTATGGTGATATCTTTTAGGAAATGCCAGGAATGATATATAAATATAAAGTATTTTCGAACAATAGTTTGTTTTTATTTTTAGTTGAAGTTTTTTTAAAACATACTATGAATAACAATCGAGTGCACAGTGAAGGTACCGCTGGAAGTCATGAATCACAAAAATGGTGGCATCGTCGTTGGGTTGTGATTATCTGCATCTCATCTGTTATTTTAATAATTTTTGCTATTATTCTCTCTCTAATAGTAAAATTTGTCGTTCTTGCACCGAAAGAATCAGAAATTACTATTGTGACACTGCCTTCACTAGCGACGATAATATCAACAGAAGCAACAACAACCGAGATCGCTACTCAACTTTCAAGTAAGCTGTACAGTAATGTTTCAGAACATCACTGGATGTCAATTTTAAGTCAGGGATATGCATATAGTTACTGTATGTTCAACGGTATTCTGTATTTTTCTGATATAAGGATCGTACATCTGCACGGAATGTAGATTGTGGATGCTTAAAATCTCACAAAGAGTAAATCTTTTTCGTTCAGTCATCATAACATCTGCTCTTTTTCAATCGACTATTTAATTGAGTCCAGAATCAGTTTTAAATTAGTCGATAATTTGGCGGATGCTACTGTTTTCCATCGTATTTTCTTCGCATGAGAAGTTTTATTTGGATAATTCTATTCAATAGAATATTACTACAATCAAAAGCATATTTATTCTTCTAAATAATGAAACGGTCAGTAGTAAACATAGATCTGCTTTATCTGTTGTTTACGCACACGATGTTTTATGAAAAATACGAAACTCTCTTTTGTATCGTAGCGTGAATAATTTCTTACAATAAATGAAAGAATTTTTGAGAGTCTCCAAGATCTCAATAAGATTTTATTAATAAAAAGGAGGGAACGATTTGAATTTTACTAAAAAATAAACATTTTCCCTCAAGATTAGAGAATGTCCAGAATGCAATGATATATCTTTTTTTTTCAAACTAAATACATTCAAATGCATCTTCTGTTTAGATTGGTCCAATACTGATAGCATGAATTATGCACGAAGAGGCCACCAGGCATGTGTATTAATGAATGGAAAGGTGTTAGTAAGTGGTGGAATTGGTAATGATGATCATCTTAGTAGTGCTGAGTTATATGATCTATCAACAGGAATTTGGACAATCACGGGTAGCATGAATGATGCGCGGTTTACCCATACATCCATATTGATAAATGGCAAGGTTTTAGTTACTGGTGGAGCTGGTGATAAAGGTCCTCTTCATACCGCTGAGTTGTATGAACCATTAACAGAAACGTGGAAACCTACTGGTCGTATGAATAATGCACGACGTTCACACACAATATCTTTATTAAAAAATGGAGAAGTGTTAGTTGCTGGTGGCGCTATTAATAATGGTATAGCTCTAAACAGTGTTGAGGTATTTGATTCGTCAACAGAACTTTGGTCAAAACTTACTAATATGAACAATGCACGATATGGGCATACAGCATCGGTTTTATTGAACAAAAAAATATTAGTTACTGGTGGATGTAGTAATCATGATACGTATCTAAACAGCGTTGAAATGTACGATCCATCAACAGACACTTGGACAACGATTTCTAGTATGAATAGTAGACGATACGGGCATACAGCATCCCTGCTAAAAGATGGAAAAGTGTTAATTACTGGTGGAACTAGTGATGTTGGAGTACATCTAAATAGTGTTGAATTGTATGATCCATCAACAGGAATTTGGATAATTGTTAATAGTATGAACTATGAACGAGCTCATCATACAGCATCCGTATTAAAAGATGGAAATGTGTTAGTTACTGGTGGTTTTGCAGACGGTTCTGTAGATACTTCTGAATTGTATGATTCATCAACAGGAACTTGGACGCACATTGTTAGTATGAATTATGCACGAGCTCAACACACAGCATCCGTATTAACAAATGGAAATGTGTTAATTACTGGTGGAATTCATTATAGTCAAGCTTTGAACATCGTCGAACTATATTAATAATTCTAAATAAACGAACGTTATATACCGCTTTCAATGTCTGATACAATTAATCTCTTCATCGCCGATTATTCCTAAAGTATAACTCGCATATTTTAATGACAATGAATTATTTCTATAGAACATTTTTTGGTACAAAGTGAAAACGTAAAACTGATCAATACCGAACTTTATATCTATCGCTTTTTGTTGTATTGCATGAATATCTAATTTAAATTTACAAGCATATCAGTCGTAATCGAACTAATATGATTTTTCTGCTAAGAATAAAATATATATTTTCTCTTTTAGAAAGTCTTTTATCCGTAAGGAAAAGCATTTTTCAATAATTCTTTGCTTGAAAATATCCATAGAAAATGTTTTTTTTTGAAATAATCAGTCAGTGTTTAGATTATATCATTCATCTATTCAGACTGACAATAATGCTAATTGTTAAATTAAGTGGCAAACTGTCCGGTCATTGTGAGACCTTTTGTTATGACTAGAATTGTAAAATTCGACAAAGACAAGAACAATAAGGTGATGATCACCGACTCTCACACCTACCAAGTGTCTAATTATTTTAATTAAGAATAAGGAGTATACTTTGTTGGAAAAAGCTCAATTCTTATCTTTCGAAATTGAAACGATACAATTTCCTTTTTTCTCTTCATATGCATTTCATCTCTCAGATTAGCGTTGGATTGGGTGTGGCTGTTCGTACTGTCCTCATCTCGTACTCGCACCCACCTTATAAATATAAAGATTTTCGTTACCTTATTCTTCATTATAAAGAAAAAAAAAAGGAAGTAACACTCCTAATCACGAACTTTATGAGACGACAATATCTGTTATTATTTTAGACTGTTATAGCAGCTGGAACTGACAGCTTTTTTTTGTCTGACATAGCAAGTCAGATCAATCTTCAAAACTACTGTATTTCATCGAAATAATCAACAGAATATTTAGCTAGTTTTCAGCATAAAATAGGACATTACAACACAACATTCAATACATTATTCACATTTTTATCTAACTTCAACCATTTGCATGGTTATTGTTGCAACTATGTTTGATTGTCGCTTTAGTTTTTTTATGATATATGTCTTCACCGGATCAGTGAATTGAAATAAAGTAATCATAATAAATAGTAATGCGATATAAACAAATGCAGTAGCAATACGTAAATGATATTTTGGTGGTTGAGTGAAAAATCCGATAAAGATGAAGATTGTATAAGGTACACCCAATATTAATAATATGGATACAAGTATAACGATTCGATGAACCATTTTTAGTTCTCGTTGTGCACGAGATACAGTATTCACTGGTGTCACACGTTTGTTTATTTCTTTTACATACAGAATTAGTTTGACATAAATAAACATAATACCATTCAGTGGTATGAAATAAACATAAATGATATTATAAATAATTATAAGAGACAAATGAAACGGTGTTTCACATATCTGATTGTCAGCATTGTATTGAATTTCACCAGTAACAACATGTGGAGTAGCAAATATAAAGGCACATACCCATATTAAACCGATGAGAAAACCTTGAAACTGTTTTGATTGCCAGAAAAGTCGTGTTGGATAAATAACTGTTATATACCGATAGATTGCTTGTAATAAATAAGAACCGAACTGTGCAGCAATCGCAGCATGCATGAAGTAGCCTCGAAAAACACAGAGTGAATCTTGATATGCAATTTGTTTGAGATCATTTTTGAGTGACCATATCAGCATGCCTAATAAATCAATTGCAAAAAGAAGTTTAGCTAAACATGAACTAGCAACAAGCATCACGGGAACTGTGTGACATGTTTTATCAATTATAATAATAAATAAAAATAGTACACCTAGTATTATCACCAGAATAAGAAATATAATATTGATAATATCGAGAGGAATAAACCATGGTTCAGTATTTATAGTAGATGAGTTCGAAATCGATGTTTGCATTGATACAATAGTAGTTGAATTCATTTTTGAGAAAGTTAACAGCTGAAAAAAAATAAATGTAATGAGATGTTGTCAAAAGTTTATCTGTTGAGTAGTTTATATATAGAATTTCTAATACTCATTACATCGTCTCCAGATATTCTTATTATCTTTTTTTCTCCTTTCTATTTCATAGAACAAAGCGGTACTTCGTAACGTATGAGAAATTAAAAAAAAGAATTTTTTTTCTATACTATAAATTAATTATCAGTGGTTTAATAAGTTAGCTTTCGATTTCTACAGAATATTTATAAAAAGAGTTAATATACTCATGGAAAATATATTTTTATCTTTCATTCCACCGCTAATGATATTCTCTACTAGTTTTCCATTCTCATTTATATCTAACGGAAAGTATCATGTGGAGGATATAAGGGTGTCAGTCAAACAAATATTAATCTATCTTAGTATTCATGCTATAAATATTAGTAATTATTCAAAGAAAATCGAGTTTTATTTTCAATATACTCAGCATATCCGAAGAATGTTTCGTCGAAGATAATATTTAAAGTCCATCTATTTACATCTCATACATGATGTGATGAAAGGATATGAAGCATTTTTTTAGACACCGCCATGTAATCTTTTCTTTCTTTTCAATGCACCTCAGAGAACGAAGAGATGCATTACATAATTAAAAAAGCTATTTTTTCATTTACAAAAAAAAAGTACTTCCGTTCATTATAAACCGATGAGGTTTTTGAATGGCTAAATACATCATATTCTTATCGATGTGCATCATTTACAAGAAACACATAATTATAAAAACTGGCGAGAGATATTCACGTAATATGCATACCATTGCCTCGTAATTAATCTAAACTACTCATATGTCTATTTCTATTGTGTTTAGTAAAAGTAGTGAGTATAACACTTAAATGTGTTAATCTAGAAGGTATGTGTGTGAGTATTCTTCCCATACACTATCAACACCCATATGCTGCCATAGTTGGAGCCAAATCGGTCGATCTTCACCACTCTTTTTACCTGTGTTTATGATTTCCATCATTATCGAAATTTTAGTTGTAAATATTCATGACTAACACTTCCTCATCCTACAAAAAATGATATTTCTCATAGAATTATAATAGCTAGTATTTTTGAGTTCATGCTTTCATAAGAGAATATCAAAGAAGTTTACATTCCCTTATTTAAATTTTGTTGGCAGTTATCATTATGTGAGTATGAAAACACTGAGATATAAAGAAGTCTTAGATAGAAAATGTAGTTTTAAAGCATTATGTTTCAGCTTATCTCATCTATCTGCTTGTAGCAGCATTCTTACAGTCAACTGCGATGTCTTTCAACTATCTTAAATAAATTAGACTTATTAATTAAGAAGAAAATATATTGTTATTAAAAATTGTGAATCAAAATATAGTTAGGTATTACTCAATATTAGTTGTTGTGAGTTCCTATTCAAAAGTGAGAAATGTTCGTTTACTCTTAATAGTAGTACATGAAACATGTTAGACTAAAATACGAACTGTTACTATGAGAAACTTGAATAATTATATGAGTTCGAAGGTGTATAGCTTCGTCAAACTGAAGTAAAAAAGTGAAGTTATTGAAATGTATTGATTATTTAGTTGATGTATGAAATGGATCGATTTTACACCGGTTAAGTCAAGAGTTCCGATCTGGTGCAAACTGAAAAAATCGAACCGGTTGCAAAGCAAGTGTGATTAGAAATGTGAAGTGAAGAAGTCATTTCATTATCGCTGCATTTTCTTGTTGTTGTGATTTGATATACAAAAGAAATAAAAACATATTAGCTGTCAACAATTACAAGTGTTATTACGTTCTTTTTTCTTCGAAATACTTGTATTGTCCCCTTTTATCTAAGGATTAACAAAAGAAAAAGGTAATGAGAGTTACACTTTGATTTGAAGAAATAGCGAGAGAAACGATGTTTACAACGATGTGTCTAACATATGCATTTTATTTTACTTTTATTAATTAGTTCTTTTTGATATATTCGTACATCTCATATTTCATCTTATGATGGAACTATGTATTTAGTAAAGAAGTCTTTGAATCGGTCTGTAGTATTAGAATAATATAGATGTGCGTGTCGACAAGTAAAAGATCATCATTTTGCAATGTTGAATTTTTATTGACAACGTCGAGCATCTGAACTAGTTATTTCATAATTATGTTTTTTCTCTGAAAAGAGTACAGCAAGAAATTGAAGTGAAGAACGAGTTGATTTTTTCCAATTCTTTTTCTTCCTTCATAGATAAAAGAAGTAAGTAAATATTGTAAAAAGTTTGTCGTTGATTCATTTTTATGATTATCGAAACGTCACTTATATGACAAAAAAATGAGACGACAACAGCAGCAACGACTTGAAAGATTTCTGTTATGGTTTGAGATTGTGGACAAGATCATACAACCATTTTGCAATATAATGGGTATATTCCTATCTTCATGGTTATGTTGGATTATATTGACTAGGTGCAGATCAATCATTTTCGACGAAATTTTGAACACATCTTTAAATGGAATGTGGGATTATTCATTTGGTGGTAATCTCGTCTATATAACGGCGATCTATGCGACAATTGATATTCTATATCGTTTCAACACAGTATCTACTATGTATTTTAGAACAATGCAGTTTACTCAAGATCGGTTGGGAAAGCTAGAACTTTCAAGGATAATATTGGTAGTAGTTTTTCATTTGATGTTCCTGAGCGCATGGTATTTTGAGGGGATGGAATTAAAAAGTCCACAGACCGAGATACTTGTGTTATGTAGTGATAAATCTGCGACTGCGACGTTAACAATGTTCAAAACTCCAAAACGCAAAGGTCTTTGTGTTGTAAGCCTGTATGATTCAATCTTTTGGGCGTTGTTATGCATAGATCTGAGTATCTGCACTGCTGTTCTTCGTACAATTATTAAACTCTTACTATTATTTTGCAATGAATAAAATGGTGTGGGTGTGGATGAGAGATTATCTTTTTTGCACTCATACCCACACCATAATTTCACATTTTAATACAGACTTTTTTTACTTCCCGTTGCTCAATCCACAATTCATATAAATAAAAAATTTCAATAAATTCTATTTCTTACTTATTTACTCTAACGGTATAAAGAAATGATAATTGAAAAACTTTTGTAGTCTAACTTTTGAAATTAAAATAAGGTGAAGTAATATAACAATTAATTGTCTACTAGATAAAAACCTTTATAAAACAAAATGTGATACATGCATTAAAATAAAATAATTTGTGGATACAAACTAATCGTTTATAAGACTAACAACTTGTTGTACCTTGAATAGGACTACTCATCCTTATTTCAAAATCAGTTTTTGATGATTTATGCTTGGTTTCATACAATGATAGACTTTTACTTTTTATTTTTGTATAACAGTTGATATTGAATAGGAAAGAAGAGAAATAATATGAGAAATAATCGATTTCCCATAGAATAGAATGGATGTATGATAAAAATTTGTGAATAAAACTTGATACTATATTCTTGTCAAAAGCTTTAAACTAAGTTATAATAATACATCATAATATCATCATGCATTTCTACGTGTGTCTATATTTATATTGAAAATTAATCATTCTATAGCAAAAGACTACATGATATTTATCATATGATTTCAAATGAACCATAAATCGTACTTTGTTTTATTTGATTAGTTGATTCATGATAAAGATGATATATTTATTTAAATATCGTATCATAACATAACATATATACGTAGTACAATCAAATCACGGAAATCTTCTGACTTGAGAGAAATCGTTTCACAACAGTGAATCAACATTCTTCCATGATTCTATTTATCTTATTCTACTTTTATCATATCTGAAATAAACACGACATTTTATTATCTTCAAAATACTTACAATTTCTATATACCTTGCTTTACTAAACTAGACATATCTTTCACTTAGAGTAGAAACATATGCTCTCAAAAACACACAAGAGATTTTTTACAGATATTGTTTCGCATCTCTGAAAGTTAGTTGTAGTGGCATATGTCGAAAATATTGAAGATACATCAATGAAAATTCATGTATTAGTATGAATTATATAAATCATCATCTCGAACAAATATAATTTTCATATCAATGATCTTCAACATATCTAATTAAGCCAGAGCATCAGTGTTAAATGACGATAGCAGAGTTTCGTACGATCGAACATCCTAAAAGCCTAGTTTTTAATGCAGACGTAAAACTTTTAAGTAAATTCGAAGTAAGGATTGATAAATATCAAAAAAATGTGAACTTAAGGAGAGCAGATATTTCTAATCCGTCATCGTTATTGGTTGTTAGTCACTGAATGTGTGCTTTTGTTGCACAACACACGGCTCATGATGAAAACTGGAAAAAGAAAAATATATGGAAAAAACACGTCATTATTTACTTGACGATGTTATTGCACAAGCATATACTAACATGGAATAATCAAGATGAACAGAATGATATGGTGGTGTAACTTGGCATCTTTTTATAAATCAATGTGATGGATGAAAATGTTGACATCATAACATACGACTCGTTTGTTAACTAAATCGAAAGATTTCAAATGAGAAAAAAAAATTGTGAAATGGAAAGTAAATTAAAGAATATTTTAAAGTGTTTTTTGTTTTTTGTTAAAACTAATATTGTTAAAATTGTTTTAGACAAGTTTTCATGTTATAATATATGAAATTTTTCTATAAAAGATATCTTAAGATCAATCGAATAGACATATATACTAGATGAATCTCAATTAACAATAAAAAAATCAAAATGAAATAGAAATAAATAAAAGGAAAGAATAAAAAACAATATTAGTCTATTTATTATAGGACCGGTTTAATTATAAATTATCTTTAATTTTATTCTCCTAATGATAATGCACTCGTATCAACCATCTTGAAAGTATACGTGTGAGTGTGATGAATAT